GAAGGGCGATTGTCCCGCTGTAAAACTGGGTCATTGTTTTTCCGATGGGGGCTTGTTTGGTTGGATCAACTTATATCACTTTTCGATTAACGGACTCTGTGATCGACCTATCTCGATTTTTCCATGCAAGCGATAACGACATAGATAGCTGAGGCAGTTCCTTCAGTGGTTTTCGTTTTATAGTGCCAGGAGTGGGAAGTCTCCACCCAGTGTTCGAAAATGGCGCAGCTAAGGCGATAAAATTGCCTGGCGACCTCATACTCGAAAGTGTTTTGACGATTATAGCTTGAGAAATTGAAGCTGGTGAGAACTTACATTAACGTGGGGATTCATTTCAATTATGGCGCGCCTCCTCGTTAGTCTTATTTTCGTACAGGGTTATGTAGTGAATTTTTAAGGTGAATATTTCTGTTTCTTTTCGATAGGAGGAACCGTTCCCTTTATCGTCGTCAGGATATAAAGCCGTCCACCGTCGCCGGTGATTTCAAAGGGACTTACAGTAATTGCTTCAGTATGAAACGGCTAGCTCGAAAGAGTTCCAGCAGATTCCTGTATCACATTACTCACAGAGCTTCGGGGGTAACTCCTTTGTACTAGAGAAGGCTGACATCCTGCAGCAACACTGTCGTGGCCCATGTAGTTTCACTACGGTTTTTTAGGGTCGAGAAGCGTTTACGAGTTGAATTTGTTGACTGAAGTTCTTGGGAAGGGGCGACTAATCGCATGCAAGCGTAGTTCTTATGTGAAGGTCGATGTTAGCTTTTATTTCCAACAACCTTTGCAGTCATGCTTTCGGCTGCGTTACCATTGAACCATTGTGTTCAACTAGGAGCGGGCGCTGGCGAATGGCTTCGGTAAAACATGTACTTACATTGAGTCGCAAGGGCATGGATTAACTAGAAAGAATAGCACAGAGAGCTTCGGTTCCCTATTGATCGTGAGCAAAACTTAAATGCATCGTGGTATGAACAAATAAGAGAAAACGAGAGATTGTACACAGTTGATGCACCATGTTCATCTCTCAGGAGCTTTTGATGTCATTTATCGGAAAGTTGGTATTGAGTTCCATGGTGGATTTGTGGCGAGAAAGCAAAAAATAAAAAAAAATGTGATTACTCCATTTCAGAATGTCGAGGAAAAGTGTTTTGCCTCCCTCCCCCCTCCCCTGCATTGTGTATTCAGTATGCGTAAACGGAGTTTTCACTCTCTGGAAATGTTCTTACAATATATCACACATGCCCTGACAATTAGCAGTTCGAGTCGTAGGACTTGTTCATTTACAAGAAAACTTTTTTTGAGATAGACCCCTTTAAGCTAACCATTTTAATTCCTAGCTGTTTCAGATGGCGATTTAATTACGCTGGCTGATGACTCTGATCTTCTTCTGGCATTGCAATCCGAACAAACGTTATCGATTGAGGTCTCGATCGATAATAAGGCCATCGCCGAGCTAGCTGATATTCAGCAGCAGATCGCTCAGATCCAGGTTAGCGATGTCTCGGTGTCCCAGATTTCACCCATGACGTGGGATGTTCTATTCCTTAAGATTTGTTCTTACAGCTAGTTCATAATCATCTGTTTCGGATTATGATTGATTTCACCTCTTGCTTTCATCATAGAAGTTTACTCGAAAATCGCCATACATTCATAATTTATGACTTAAATTTTGTCACCCATGCACTGTGACTGTGTGGTGTAAGTTGTTGACTGTAGAGAGTGGAACGACTGCGACTGCGACCAGATAATAAATTCGTTTATGATTCTAAAACTTATTTTGAGAACGTTAAGTGGGAGAATCTGAAAATTTTAATCTCTGCGTGGCAGTGTTTCTACCATTCATGTTCCACAATACGAAATTTGAGGAAAAAAGATCCAATCGACATCGTTTTCTACAGGCTGATGTTCAACGACTCTCGAAAACCCTTTCGAGCCTTAATATATCTAGCACTCGTGGGGCTTCACAATCAGTTGCAACTTCACAACATTTTGAGCCGAATGAGGTATGTTGGCATTTTATGTAATCGCTGAGCATTTATCTAAGAAGCAGCGAGGGCTTAGAGATTGAAAATTGGGTGGTTTAAGGGCCTTCCCGCCGTGTCAGGATTTGGAGATAACGTTCCGCCTCTCCCGGTGAACGGTTATGATGCCACACCCTTATCTCCGAATTCCCCTGTGCCATCTGAAAAACCGGAGCTGCCCGCCACAATCCAACCATCGCTCCAGGAACAGGTTCAGCTTTTATTTCCGTTTTCCCGGGTGAATCGTGTTTTCTATTTTTTTTTACTGTTTATTCAGGTCCTGTCGGATGGTCATTCTCGGCAAGAAGTGTCGGCACCATGTGTGGAAGAAATACCTTTAGAGGCTGGAGCGCCATCAGCTTTTGCTCCTCCACCATCCGACTTCGCTCCACCGCCGTCAGCTCCGTCTGCTGTTCAGGATCCGCATGTGTCCCAGCATCAACAGCAAGGATTTGCTCCTCCTCCTCCAACTATGCCGTCGATCCCATCGTTCCCCCAGGCAAACATGCCACCAGCAAGTTTCTCCCCATCTCGTCCGCCACATGAACATACTCCTCCACAGCCGCCACAACAGTTCGTTCCTCCCCAGCAGCACGCTGCACCACCACAGATGCCGCCCACCAGCTTCGCACCACCCCCGCAACATCAGGTGCGAAAAGACTTCATTTTATTGTCGAAGAGATCAAAAAATATTCAATGTGATTATCCTGACTTATGAATATTTCAGAGTTTCGGTGCCCCGCCACCGCAACAGTTTGGCTCGCAGCAGCAGTTTGCTCCGCCACCGCAGCAGTTCGCTCCACCTCAGCAGGCACCTCAGCAGCAGCAACCACCGACGCCACAGTCTTCTGTTTCATCCACTCCGATTCCGCAACCATCGCAGCAGTTCGGCGCTCCACACGGCGCGATTCCACAACAATTCGTTCCACCGCAGCAGGCGCCTACGCAGTTCGCTCCTCCTCCAAATCAGGTTCGTGCTTCCTTGTCAGAATGAAATACCTTTGTTTTTGAATCTAAAGTGTAATCATACAGTAGTAACAATGTGGGATTCAAAAGGAACTGCAAAAAATCTGGAAATGGTTTTGTTCGTTAATTTTTTTTCGGCCTGTCGAACACTTCATATCATATTGTCTCATCAGTCGTGGATCATTGCATTTTGCTCACAGTTCGTTAAATGATCGTTCATACGTCACTTTATTACTTGTTTGCGCAAGTACAGTTCTCTCCTTGATATTGTGGCTAATTTTGGAAACTTGAAGTAGAACATGGAGAGAGCTTGATTTGTGCACACATTTCAGTTTTCCCCGATGAGAGTGGACCCTCAAGTTTGTTCACTTGTTCCTTACCATTAGTGCCTTTTTTCTTTAAGAATCTACGGTTTCGTGACTATTTGAACTGGCATTTAGTTCTCCGTCTTAAAGGCAAAGTTCGGGCTTAGACCCGTCTAAGAAGCTCTTAGCATGGCCAAAAATGCTGGGTACGCAAGTGCTAAAATAGCGCCACCTTTCTACATCGAAATGCGTCACTAGGACCTTAGGC